GAATAGAATTAGAATAGAATAGAGAATAGAATAGAATAGAAAATAGAATAGAAAATAGAATAGAGAATAGAATAGAAAAGAAAAGAAAATAGAATAGAGAGTGGAATGGAATAGAGAATAGAATAGAAAATAGAATAGAAAATAGAATAGAGAATAGAATAGAAAAGAAAAGAAAATAGAATAGAGAGTGGAATGGAATAGAGAATAGAATAGAAAATAGAATAGAAAATAGAATAGAGAATAGAATAGAAAAGAAAAGAAAATAGAATAGAGAGTGGAATGGAATAGAGAATAGAATAGAAAATAGAATAGAAAATAGAATAGAATAGAGAATAGAATAGAATTAGAATAGAGAATGGAATGGAATAGAATAGACAATAGAATAGAAAATTATAATAGAGAATAGAAACTAGAAAGAATAGAATTAGAATAGAATTAGAATAGAGAATAGTATAGAAAAGAAAATAGAATAGAGAATGGAATATAATTAGAATAGAATAGAATAGAATTAGAATAGAGAACAGAATAGAAAAGAAAATAGAATAGAGAATAGAATAGAATAGAATTCTCTATTGGCCAAGTGTGATTGGACACAAGGAATTTGTCTTTGCTGCATCTGCTCTCAGTGTACATAAAAAAAAAATGCATTCATCAAGAATGATAAGATACACCAGTGACCGTCAGAGGTTACTAAATAAGCAATCAAATCATACTAGGGAACAAATGAAACAGTACAAATCCTAAAGGCTCAAGCCACAAGGTCCGTTCGTTTTAGTTTCGCTGCCAAGATTGATCTGTAGGCCTCTCCGCTTGGGCTCCTCCCTCCGGATTTATTGTCCTTTTCGACATCTTGACTTCAGTTTACGCATCTTTAGGAAGTGGGTTTTTTTCTTTTTCATTTGTTTCTTAAATCCACAGTCCAAACAAGCCGTCCCTTCGTTTTAGTTTGGCCGCCCCCGAGGCTGATTTATGGAGCTCTCGGCTTCTTTGCCTCCGTGATCCCAAATCAAAATATTTATCAGGCCGGAATTCTCCAGCTGCGTCAACTGCCAGGGGAACATCTTCGGTTGAGTAATCGTTCCGTGGTCAAAAAAGTTTGTTCTGTTCCTGTTGCTGGAGAGAGCAAATGACGAATGGAAAGGGGGGGGGGAGAGATGATGAGTCTTTCTCTCTGCTCTCCCCCCCCCCCCCGGCTGCCAAAAAGCTGGCTTGTTTTTCCGTTTGTTTGCTTCAGAGATGTACTTAATGGGCTCCTTGGATGAGATTTGAGATCGAGAACTGGAACCGTGGCCAAATAGATGCTGCAGAACAGGACAAGAACAGGCCTCTGACGTAAAAGCCACCTACTTCTCTCTCTCTCTCTCTTTCTCTCTCTCTTTATCTCTATCATCTTTATCTCTCTCTATCATATCTCCCTATCTATCTATCTCTCTCTCTCTCTCTCTATCTATCTATCTATCTATCTATCTATCTATCTTTCTTTATCTCTCTCTATCATATCTCCCTCCTTCTATCTACCACTCTCTCTCTCTCTCCCTCCCTCTCTTCCTATCTATCATCTATCTATCTATCTATCTATCTATCTATCTATCTATCTATCTTTATCTCTCATCTTTATCTCTATATTATATCTCCCTCTCTCCCTCCCTCCCTCTCTATCATATCTCTCTCCCCCTCCCTCCTCCCTCCCTCCCTCCCTATCTATCTATCTATCTATCTATCTATCTCTACCTTTATCTCTCTATCATCTCTCTCCCTCCTTCCCTCCCTCCCTCTCTATCTTTATCTCTATCATATCCCTCTCTCTTCCTCCCTCCCTCTCTATCTACTTTTATCTCTCTCCCCCTCCCTCCATCTTTATCTCTCTCTCTCTTTATCTCTATCATCTCCATTCATCCATCCATCCATCTATCCATCTATATATCTATCTACACAAACACACACACACACCATTTCCCCGAAAATAAGACAGGGTCTTATTTTCTTTTGAAACCCCCCCCCCGGAAATAAGTGCTGGGCCTATTTTCGGGGAGGTCTTATTATTTTGGAGGCTCAGGAGGCCCCATAACCTCGGCCTGTGGATCAGCTGATCCAGAGAGGGCCGAAAGTTCTGTCTCTCTTTCTGGCACATGCTTGCCGGCCCTGGCATCTCTGGGACGACTGCTCTTTTTGCGGCCGCCGCTGAGAAAAGCGGTGCGGAAGCTAGGCTTTGCAAGAGCGGCCTCCCTGATGTCTGACTCCGAAGGCAGCTGATATCTGTCAGACAGCCCTGGCCCCCTCTCTGCCTCCGACACAGAGCCCTCCTCAGAGCCTCCCCCAGACTCCAGGACTGGCCCAGGTTCCTCCCCAACCCTCCTCACTGTCTGATTCTGCTGCCAGCTCCGCAGGCCACTGGCGGGCCACACCCCCTTGCAGTTGTTAAGCGAGCCACACAGTCATGAAGTGAATCAGGCTGAAGAGTTTAGACTCCCAAATTAAATGAGTAACCGGAGCTATATAGAGGGGGGGGGGGGAATAAAAACCAGAAACAAGTTGTGTAGAAGCATTATTGGACAATTATCCTTGCCTTTAAACCTTCATTTTTTGCTTTCTCAATCAGAGATTGGGGGTGGGGGGGAGCCACAGCCATCTCGGGTTGACAAGCAAGGCATGCCCCCCCCCTCCAAGGTTAAATTCAATTTTAGCTAAGGTCTCGGCATCTTGCTTTTTCAGGGGTGGTGCCACTGCCCGACACGGCCCTCGATTTCTCCGATCTCCGGAGCACCAGCAGCAACAACAGCCGTGTGAGTTGTGAAGTGGGCAAGTTTTTCTTTCCCCACAAGAGGTCAAAGATCTGCATTGTAGGCCCTATTGATAGCCTTGGGGGGGACAGGGGGAGAAATGCACATTATTTCCTGTATTTTCCTTTATGGGTATTTAATGTGCATCTCTCCCCACTTTGAAGGGTTTATGATAGGTGGACATCAACTCCCAGAATTCCCCAGCCAGCTGGCTTTCGTGTCTAAGGCGGGACTAGAACTCACCGTCTCCTGGTGATTGGCCCAAAGTCACCCAGCTGCCTTTCATGCCTAAGGCGGGACTAGAACTCACTCTCTCCTGGTTTCTATCCTACCACCTTCCCCCCCAGTTCCAAACCAGCTCTGATATTTTGAAGACGGGGGTGTCTCACTATAGAGTCCTTGGCCCAGAGCCCTCCCGAAACCTGGAGTTCTCTCCAGGAGGTGCGCTCTATGGTAACGTAAGCCTCATTCTACAGCTGTCAAGTAGCGTATGGCTGGCTGGGGGAATTCTGGGAGTTGAAGTCCACGGGGTCTTAAAAGTCGCCACGTTCGTAAACTCTCAGCTTAAAGAAATTGGAGAAATATTCCCTACAAATGCCTCTTCCATCGTTTCATCCAGCATTCCCGTTTTATTTCATTTTTTAAAAATTTTTATTTTAGAACAACGAGGACTGGACCGTTTGCAACCGGTGCGAAACCTACCGGCCACCCCGGGCTCATCACTGCCGCATTTGTCACCGCTGCGTCCGCCGGATGGACCATCACTGCCCTTGGTGAGGGTTCAAGATCTCTGCACCATGGGCCCTGAGCTGCTTAGCCTGATGGGTTCTGTGGCACAGTTTGGTTTGAGGTTTTTCCACCCCACTTGTTTGCAAGTCAGGAACAATTTCCCGTTTTTGCAGAAAGTCCTCGGCTTATAACAGTTCACGAGCTTTCTCCATCCTTGTCTTGATTTCCGTGGTCATGTCATTTCCCACTTAGCAACATAAATTTTGGGGCTCGGGTTCTGGTCGTACGCCGAGGACCTACCTATAATGTGATTTTTGACGTCGCTGTGGGTTTCTTTTTAAAATAATAATAATAATAATAATAATAATAATAATAATAATAATAATAATAATAATAATAATAATAATTCTTTTCCTTTGCAGGATCAACAACTGCGTGGGAGAACTCAACCAGAAATACTTCATCCAGTTCCTTTTCTACACAGGTATTGTTTTAAGAAGTGGGATCCAATCCCGCTGGGATCCAAGGAAGGGATCACGCATGGGAAGGAAGTGGGAGAATCAGATCAGATACAGATTTAACAGAGTGGGGAAGGGACCTTGGAGGTCATCTAGTCCAACAACCCCCCCCCCCCAAACAGGAGACCCTACACCATTTCCGACAGACGGCAGTCCAGTCTCTTCTTGAAAGCTTTAGCCCAGATTTAACAGATTAACAGAGTGGGGAAGGGACCTTGGAGGTCATCTAGTCCAACCCTACAGAATTAACAGAGTGGGGAAGGGACCTTGGAGGTCATCTAGCCCAAACCCCCCCCCAAACCGGAGACCATTTCTGACAAACGGCAGTCCAGTCTCCTCTTGAAAGCTCCCAAAACTGCTCCCCCACCGCCATCAAGGATAAGAGAGACCCCCGTGGTTTATGCAGGCAATCCTCGACTTACGACCATTCATTTAGCGACTGACTTACGGAGGAGGCTAAGAGGCCGAATGAGGAATTCTGCTTTTGGGGGAAATCGGAGGCGCGCTTGCAGCCTTCGTCCACTAGAGGCTGCTCTGGCCCCATTTTTCTTCCCTTATTGATTTCTCCTCTCCTCCAAAGCCTACAATCGGTTTACACTTTGTAGTAAGGGTAGTCTTTGACTTACGAAAAGCCGAGGTTAGGACGGCGGTGGAAAAAAAGGAACTTGACTCCGTGATTCATATTTACGACCGTTGCAGCAGCCCTGTGGTCAGGTCCTCGGAAGTTCTGACGCTTGGCAACTGACTCGTGTTTACGACGGTCGCAGTGTCCCCGGGGTCGCGTGATTTTTGCGACCTGACAGGCAAATTTTACTGTCTCGCTTAGCAGAAGGAATGTTGGGCTCGATGGAGGCTCTAGGTCGAGGACTACCTGTGCAGAATCACGGGGCTGGAAGGGAATTGGAGGTCATCTAGTCCAACCCCCTGCTCAGAAGATAGGATAGCAGGGCTGGAAGGGACCTTGGAGATCTTCTAGTCCAACCCCCTGCTCAGAAGACAGGATAACAGGGCTGGAAGGGAATTGGAGGTCATCTAGTCCGACCCCCGGCTCAGAAGACAGGATAACAGAGCTGAAAGGGACCTTGGAGGTCATCTACTCCAACCTCCTGCTCAGAAGACAGAAGAATAACAGGGTTGGAAGGAACCTTAGAGGTCTTCTAGTCCAACCCCTTGCTCAAGCAGGAAACCCTATCCTGTTTCAGACAAAGAGCCCTCCAATCTCTTTAGACTAGATTAGATTAGATGGTTATATTAGATTAACAGGTTTGGAAGGGACCCTCAAGGTCTTCTAGTCCACCCCCACCCCTGCTCAAGCAGGAGACCCCCCTCCCATTCCAGACAAACGGCTGTCCAATTCTTCTTTAAAACCCTCCAGTGATGGGAGAAGGAAGGAAGGAAGAATAAAAACATAAGGCAGTTGGAAGGGACCCTCGAGGTCTTCTAGTCCAACCCCCTGCTCAAGCAGGAGACCCCCCTCCCATTCCAGACAAACGGCTGTCCAATTCTTCTTTAAAACCCTCCAGTGATGGGAGAAGGAAGGAAGGAAGAATAAAAACATAAGGCAGTTGGAAGGGACCCTCGAGGTCTTCTAGTCCAACCCCCTGCTCAAGCAGGAGACCCCCCTCCCATTCCAGGCAAACAGCTGTCCAATCTCTTCTTTAAAACCCTTCGGCGTCGAAGCCCCCACCACATCTGGAGGCCAACCGTTCTCGCTGATCCCACCGATTTTCCGACGAGGGTTGGAAAAAAAAAACTGAAACATAACACTGGAAATCCCACCCCCCAAAAAAACCCCTGCAGGGGGAACCCCTTATTTTTTCTTCCTTCTGGTTGTGGGAACGGACCAGAAGGAGCCTGCAAGCTTAATGAGGGATCCAGAGAGGAAAAAAATTGGCTTGGAGACTTCCTTTTCCCTTCCCCTCTTCAATTATCTTCGGCGTCGGCTGACCTATTTCTCCGGCCACAGGCTTGGCGAGTCTCTACGCCATGGGCCTGGTGTTGGCCACCTGGGTGTGGCCCCTGGACAGGATCTCGGCCAGCAGGGCCGAAGGCTATGAAGGCGGCGTGGCCGGCAGCCCCATCCAAATGTAAGTCCGTCCTTTTCCCCAGCGCAACGAAATTAAAAAATGAAAAATCTGAATTTATTGTTTGAGTTCAACCCTCCCGAAAGGGTGCGTTTTCCATCCCTCGGCCCTCAAAAATAAAAGAAAATAGAAATACAGTCGAGAGAAATTTGCCATGTCACCCGGTCCTTGCCAAGAACAACTGGCGTGCCAGATTTTTGGCACGGGGAGGAGAAGATCCAGCCAATTTGGCACTGGACGGAAACAGGCCGATCTCTCTCTCTCCTCTCTCTCTCTCTCTCTTTCTCTCTGTGTCTCTGTCTCTCTCCCTCTGTCTCTGTATGTGTCTCTCTCTCTGTGTCTCTCTCTGTCTCTCTCTGTCTCTGTCTCTCTCTCTGTGTCTCTCTCTGTCTCTCTCTGTCTCTTTCTCTCTCTCTGTCTCTCTCTGTCTCTCTCCCTCTGTCTCTCTCTCTCTGTGTCTCTGTCTCTGTGTGTGTGTGTCTCTCTGTCTCTCTCTGTCTCTCTCTGTGTCTCTCTGTCTCTCTGTGTCTCTCTCTGTCTCTCTCTCTCTGTCTTTCTCTCTCTCCTCTTTCTCTCTCTCTCTCTCTGTCTGTCTCTGTCTCTCCCTCTGTCTCTCTCTCTCTGTGTCTCTGTCTCTCTCTCTCTGTCTCTCTGTGTCTGTGTCTCTCTGTCTCTGTGTGTGTGTGTCTCTCTCTCTGTCTCTGTCTCTCTCTCTGTGTCTCTCTCTGTCTCTCTCTGTCTCTGTCTCTCTCTCTGTGTCTCTCTCTGTCTCTCTCTGTCTCTTTCTCTCTCTCTGTCTCTCT